AGGGGTGGGCCCCATCATGAAACAGGGGCGGGCCCCATCATGAAACAAGGTGGAGGCCTCTGTGTCCAACTGTCCCCTCTTACAGTGCTGTTATTGCTATTCAACATCAACATCCATCTTAAACTGAGCTCAAAAGAAAAAAAAAAAAAAAAAAAAACATCAACATCCAGATGACCTGACTGAACTTTGTTGGATTTTCTACCTGGATTATTGAGCATGAACTTTAATGTTTTGAACCCCTTTGGCTATGGCTGCCTCAGAGGAGTCGACGGGGGAGAGGGCAGGCCCCAGAAACCATCTTATCAGGAAACTGGTTGGCCCACTATGTGGGTGTGCTGCTTGTGGGACTGAGTTTGTTGTGGATCCTTGGATTGATGAAGTTCTTTGGATGAAGGACAAAACGTCTCAATAAATAGAACCCGTCCAGATGACCTGAGTGAACTTTGTTGGATTTTCGACCTGGATTATTGAGCATGCATCAGGACTCAAATGGTTTTCCCCCTAGAGTTTAAATAAATTCCATTCTGTGGTTTGTGATATTTCAGTAACAAACAAACAAACAAACAAACAAACACACTCACATGAAAAACCCCATCAAGCCTTTTGCCTTGGGTGGTGGGTGATGATGTGGTGTACGAGTAATATCCAAGGGTTGGCCTTTCATGATATTTAGAGCTGGTATTACTGGTCCTGGCCCTCCATAATTTCCTCTTCTTGCTGGTCCTGCTGGCCAGACTTGGGAGGTGGCTTCTTTGTGACTCCCTGCACCTTTCACATCGGTGACAATCGGGCTCTGTGCAGCGACAGCAGGTTTGCTGAAGCTGAACCTATCGATCCATCTCCAGCAAAAGTGTTTTTACTGGGAGCCAGTCCCACAGGTCTGCAGCTCTAAGACAAATCCATTTTCTAAAAGTTAACACAGACAAGAGATCCAGTGCTGGGAAGCAAATAGCTGCTAGTGAAGTTCAGAACTGCAGCACTACATTACTCACTCTGGGTTTGACTGGGTTGTTCCCAGCAGAGGTCCACGGCTGACACACTTCAGTGTGAGTAGGTGCGTCAGCCTCATCTGTCCCCTGAGCTGTCATCAGGCAAGCAGAGCTCGTTCAAGCAGCCTCTGGCTTCGGCTCTCTGACCCCTGCCATCCCAGCGGTCCTGTGAGCACGCTCTCTTTTTACACGCACATGTTTTCAGGCTTGATCTATCTCTCCTCTTCTGCCTCACTCCCCTATCTTGGTCTTTGACTCCCCTGGTGTGATATATGTTGTTGTCACTGTGGAACACTGGATCTGAGCCAAATAAGCTCTGCCTCCCCCAGGCCACCTCCTCAGTTCTAGGAACTCCACTGGACAGCTCCAGTACCTCTGTGTACAGACCTATAGGAGCTCTGGTATGCGAGCCCCACGAGGGTCTGGTTGCCCAGTTGAGTAAGAGAACTTGCTGTTCTGAGGGGGAGCTGTGGGTGTGCAGCGTGACCGAAACTAAGCAGGAAGTGTTTCATGTCCCTTGTCCTGCCTCGTGCACAAACACACATATCTGATTTGTTTACAGATTATTATTATTGTAGAAGCAAGCTTTCTTATAAAACTTGTTGTTGTTGCTGTTTATCAAAGATGATTCTGTTCAGCTTATTCAAACAAACTATTTCCACATACTTTGTGCTTTTTACTATTTTATAAACCAAAACATTCCACTCACTTGTGTGTACCTTTTATACTTCTTAAAATTATCTAAAAAATACACAGAGATTTCAACAATTCTTTAAAAAGACTGTTCTCTTTGAAATGATCATTCGGCTACAGGTTGGCTACTTCTAGTTACTGTTCTGCGAATTTAAGCTTTCATCTAGTTTAGCCAAATTTGGTTTTAGCTACTATTCTGTTGATTTTTGTCTTGTTTGTATTCTGCTCATGTTCTGCTCATTTTAGCTCATGCTAAGCTCACTTTAGCTCATGTTCTGCTCAATTTAGCTCATGTTCTAAGCACTTTATCTCATGCTCTGTCACTTTAGCTCATGCTCTGTTCACTTTAGCTCATG